GGCAACCGAAAATATGTTATTGTATTCCACAATTATCAGAAGACTATTTAATGTGGACTTTATACCAACACATTCCACAGTGAGTAAAGAATCCACCCAAAGCGAATCAAAGACAAGGAATTTCGAGGGTAAAAAAATTTGTTTGTTTCACGTCCGTGTTTGATCGACTTCTATAATATTCACATAATCTTATTATTTATATATGAATAAGTTCTTTAAATATTCTTTTTATTATAAGATTAAATATAAAATAATTTACTTATTTTGAAAGTAACATCTATTTCATGGTCAAAATAAATAAGTTTCTTCCTTATAAGTATGAATAAATTATATATGAAAATATTATTAGAACTAAAAGATTTAATTACTTTAATCTTAGCTAAATATTTAGTGTCTCCCACCAATAAAATAAGAACTTTATTTTAGCTCTAATCAATACAATTTTATTTATTATAAATATATAATTACAATTAAATGCATTAAATAAAAATCTAATTTGGTAATGTTCACATTTCATTAATATCATATTCGGATAATTGAAATTGGGCTAGAACTCAGTATGAAGCTGGGCTACTATTGAATTTGGGCCAATTTAACTATAAAAATCCTTTTTGGGTTGGAGGCAAGGCCAGGCTATAGCCCAGGCCCTCCCCCGTTAGATCCGCGGCATCCGCCTCTGCTAAGAGATATTGATTTTCATTATAACTGCCGATTATGTTTCTTAATTATCTCCAAGCCAATGTTTATAAATTATTTAAAATGGATCAAACTATTTTCTATCTATATAATTCGTGGGATCCATACGTATTTTACACTTGTTTACTACTTATTTTTACTTAATTTATAATTCAAACTGATTATAAATAACTCATGAACATACTTTTCTCGAGTCACGTCTGAATTGAGATATTCTTCACGTGCTCACTATAAAATTTTCCATCCTTAATAAGGTTGATTTATATCCATTTTTTCATTAATTTACAAATAATTTTAAATTAATAAATATACCACTATCATATTCTCAGATAGATGATCACCTTCCAATTAGATCACACCTAAACTTACGAAATTTACTAAAATATTAACATTTATAAAATAATCTAACTAAAAATTAAATAGTTTAGGCCTTGTTTGAACCGCATTCTTTGAAAAAAAATACATTTTTAAATAGTGATTTGATATTATTTTAACCACACATTCTTCAATAAAATAATATTACACATAAATTCAAAACTTTTCTTCATTTTTTAACTACACATTCTCTATCAATCTGCTATTTTAAAATACATTATTTCAAAATAATGTGACTCAAACACACACTAACTGTGTACTATCTCAAGAAAAAGAAATTTCGGGCACTTTAACGCGGCTAAGTAGACGTTCATTGGAATTCAAATGAAGGTTCCATGCAGTTGTATGTTAGGTGCAAAGACTAAAATGTCTAAAATTTAATATTTATTTTACCTATATTTGTCGTATTTTATTTGTTTTACTTGTTGTCCAGAATATTTTATAATATTAATTTATTAAATGAATTGACAAAGATCTGATAGAGGACAAACCACATATAATTCGTTCAAAAGTGTTTTCTTTTTGTGTTAAACATTGGACCATTTACGTTGTCGTCCTAACGTTGTAGTTTGGTCGTTAGAAAGTTTTGAACGGTAGTGCTATTATGACACTTTCTTTTTTTTTTTTTTACCAAGTGTCCGCTTTACAACGACTAATTCTGAAGCCTACAATCCAGCCTTTTTTCACGCAGATCAGGTGAATCGCGGGTTGTACCCCAAACTGGACAGGTTCTAAAAGCTCTCCCAACTGAATTGTTAAAATGCCGAACGAGTCAAACTCATGTATGCGTCTTGCCTTCCAGAAGAATTCCTGCCTTCCAGGAAAAAGTCTGCCTTCCAAGAGCCCCATGAATCGAACCCGCAACCTTTGAACTGCCTGCCCTGAAGAACTCCGTCATTTACCAATTGGGTATTACGACACCTTTTTATTCTATCTAAAGCAGGGTATGAGATAAAAGTGTAACATTTCTTTTTTGAGTTGATAACTAGTTCAATTATCACTATTATTTTGAAATAAAGTAACGTTTTCTTTAATATGATAAGTTTATTGAAGATAAAAGTGCATTAAATTCATGTCAAATTTTTCCTATGATCGATTATCAGAGACGATTCAAACAACTTGAGGTCCTAATTCTTGAGCGAAAATCTTATTAAGGTTAGAATTTTTGACGAAAAATTAAACGAAAATGCTAAATGGACAGGGCCTGGGGTTATGCCTTGTGATAGGGGGTTGACCCAGATTTGAATTGAGCTCAAAATTAAATCTATAGAAAATGTAATTATCAGTGGTTGAAAAAATTTAACTCATAAATGCTATTAGGATGTGTTTGATTGCAAATATAGAAAGAAAATAAATTATATGCAACTTCTTCATTTGAAAATGGTTAATTAAATGTATTAGATTGATTTAATTTTCAACCTTAAAAATGTTATACTTGTTCATTTTTTATTAGAAGGTAGATAAGAGAGTGAAGATGTAGAGAGAGAGAGAATTACTTGTTCAATAAAAACCTACTCTCCGTAAGAAAAAAATATAATCCTCGTTTTCAAGGAAAGTACGATCATATGATAAAAAATAGGAAAATTTTTACATGAAAAGAAAATATCAACCAAACAACACAAAAGTAGAAATTTGAATGGAAAAATAATATTTTTTATGGAAAATATTGACAATCAAACGTTAGAAAAGTAGAAATTTGAGTGAAAAAATGACATGTTTCATTGAACCATTAGTAAAAATATTTAGGAAAAAAAAAATAAAAAAATTGCTAGAAGTGGAGCCTTATCTAAATGTGAGGCCTTCAGGGAACCCACTTATCTTGTCTAGAGATTGAGTCGGCCGACTACATCTCATGAGCAAATATGCTGCTACGAAATATTGGATAATAAACAATTGGTTAAATTGAATAAATACAATAAACATCCTTTAAATTAATATAACTGCAAATTATGGAAAATGTTATTTGTACACTGGGGTTGACACTCCGGTATACACTCCCTTCATAAGAGGGGATGACCCCACGACAAAACCTCGATTTACGTGTAGCAAAACTTTTTTTTAATATATATATATATATAATTATATGGACAATGCTACATTAACAAACCCATCTACAAAATGTTTGACAAACTCGACAAGTGGTGGTCTCTTATTGGAGGGGCAACTGTCGTACAGTATTTTATAATATATCTTTATCCTAATTATATTGAATCTTGGGGCCATGGACTCTTAACAAACGAGAGTTATTTCGTATATTTACCTGCTAACAAATCATCATGTAGTATGAATTTACTTTATTTTGTTTGATTTGAAAGAATGTTATATTTAAAAAAATTAATTAATTAAAACAACATAATGTCATATAAAACATCGTTATTTTCTGTTCTTCATTACTAACAAGAAATATTAATAAACTTATAAATGTTATGGTTTTGTGTGACGAAATTTATTCGTACAGTTTTCCTTTTTCTCAATAATATTTTGTATTTTAGACTTATTTTAATCATATTCTACAATTTTTATTTTTGTTGAAGTAAGTCAAAACAAATCTTTATTTTGAGGATTCTTTCAACTTATCGGGTCAAGAGGTGGTTGGCAGAATATAGAAAGGTATGTTAGGTGACATTTTTAATTTATTAAAAATTTAAAATTTTTAAACTAATATAAAATTCTTAATTAATTATTTTCTTTCTATTTTACTTCGCTGGACCAAACAAGTATAGAAAATAAATAATAATGTTAAAAGGATGAATTTGAATCTTCTTTTTCTTCTTCTTCCTCCCCGCATATGTTACACCTAATATCTAAGAACTTTTTTTTTTTCCTTTTTTTTTAATTTTTTTATTTAAAGATCAAGATGCATTATATACGTGTCACTCCATTAATTTGTCATCATAGCCCTTTTTTCCAGTATGAATGCCATTCTATTAAATTTTTGTCACTCATTTTTTTTTTTTTTCAAAATTTGAAAAAATATTATACATATACCCTTATTAAAGCAATTTTCTAGTAAAAATAAAATAAATCATCTCTACTTCATCTTGCTATGGAACCTCACTTTGCTCTCAAACACATCAAACCCGATCGACTTGGCTCTTAATTGACTAGGTATTCAAGTTGATACCAACTCTAGATTTGCACTTCTTCTTCGCTCTCTCTTTTTCTTCTTGAAATTAATTTAACGTTATGCCTAACAAAAAGTTGGAAACATCGATCCCCACACATGTGAAATAAAAAGTTATTGATCTTTAAGTTTTCATTATAGTCAAATAATTTGTTCTTCACGATATAAATCATCCTAAATTTCGTTGAAATACTATGTGACCTTGGCGAAAACATGACTTGTTTCAAATAAAGTTGAACATGTAATCAACAATAACAATTCAATAGAAATGTAACTACTCTCCTTATTTACGATTAATGATTTGAATATAGACTTGCTAAAGTATCAAATAAATCTTTTAGCCCTATTTGGAGGAGATTAAGATTAAATTTATAGCAAATTTTGATAGAAGTTGATAAAATGTATCGTTAAAAAATTGTGAATCCCATAAAATATGTTGTTAAAGTTAATTATTGACTTTTACTTTAATAAAAATCTAGATTTTAATTTCTTAACCGTGCTAGGTGTACAAATAGATTTGTCAGATGAAGTTGCAGGTTGTCACATTTCATTGGAGTTGATCCAAAAATAAATTTAAAACATCCAATAAGAAATTGAATTTTTGCTGCTTTGCCTCGAATTTTTGTGCCCGAATGATTGACATCCTCACATGGCTAGGTTCTGCGTGAACAAAAAAAAATCCAAAAAAAGTTGGCCCCGTCATTTGAGACTCGATACCTCTTTTGTCAAAAAAATTCGATCATCGTAGCGGAATTGATAAGAGATTACCATCTCAACCCATGTACACTGCCGCAGACTCAATAGTAATGTCTCTATTCCTTAATTTCCACTAGAAAACGGGATATCAAGACAATTTCACACTGTCATATGTTCACCTATTGAACCGAGTTTGTGGGACCCACTTTCGAACCTCCGTCAACTATAAAAAACATGCCAGCTTCAGTTTTGCCGACCGTGTTTTTCGAAGTTGCTCTTCAAATTCTTATTCCTTTCCCACTTTCTGCTACACTAGACCTAGACGCCGTCGCTGCCTCCGCCCGCCACCTCCGTGACGGAAAGACAAGAATTTTTTCTTTCAGAAAAGGAGAAAATAATTAATTCGAATTCAGATGGCGGCAATCACAGACGGCGGATCACAGCCAGTGACAGCGCTTTACGTGGGTGACCTCGACCCGAACCTGACCGAGTCCGAGTTAAAAGAGGTGTTCAGCCAAAAGGGAGACGTGATTTCGGTTAAAGTTTGCATGGACCATACTACTGAGCGGTCACTTGGATATGGTTATGTCAATTTTAGTAACCCTCAGGATGGTAAGTTTCCTTTTTCTAAACGAAGAATAGTTCTTATGTTTTTAGTTTTATTTAATCGTGTTATTGGATTTGTACAGAATCCACGAAATTAATTACGTAACTTGTCTAAAAGTTCAAGCTGTGACGAGGAATTCGAACAATTCTATTTTGATAAATGGGTGATAGAAAGATTGTCAATCTTGATAATCGGATCACGGGGAAACTTGAATATCTTTGATCTCATACCATTAGAGATAATATGTGTTTATTTATTAGAATTTATTCTTCGCACCAATAAAACTGAATGTTATGAACAAATGCTAGAAGGGATTAATTTAAAATGATCGTAGGAGAGTCGAACAACTGTTCTTGAATCCTATATTATGATATGCCTTGTGTTCAATGAATATTTAGTATTACTTGTTATATCTTACCCAGTAAAATTTCAAATTTTTGCGTAAATCTGGAGCAAAGTGAACCCAATGGAGAAAAAGGATCTAAGTTGCAAGCGAAAAAATATTTCGAGTTTTTAATGTTGGAGCATCGTTTCATTTGACACTGTCCTGATCTCCATTTTAACTTCTATATCTTCTCGGAACTTTGAAATTTCCCTGCTCCCTTTTCTTTCCTTGTAGACCTAATATCCATTTTCTTTGTGTTCATAATAGCTGAAAGAGCCTTGAAAGAGCTGAACTTCACTAATCTAAATGGGAAACCTATCAGAATATCATATTCTAATCGAGACTCGAGCTCTCGTAGAAATAGTGCTGCAAATATATTTGTTAAGGTACTTTTTCCTTAGTCTATTGTTTTGCTTAATTTTGAAGAAATTAATATATATTTTGATCATTCAGAATTTGGACATAGCAATTGATAACAAGGTACTGTATGAGATATTTTCTTTATTTGGGAACGTAGTTTCGTCCAAAGTCGAAACAGATGTGTCTGGCCAGTCGAAGGGCTATGGTTTCGTGCAATATGATACTGAGGAAGCTGCACAGAAAGCTATTGAACAGAATGGCATGTTATTGAATGGCAAGGAAGTCTATGTAGGACATTTTGTTAGCAAGCAAGAAAGAGAGAACAAGACAAATTTTACCAATGTCTTTGTAAAGAATATGTCTGAATCAATAACTGAAGAAGATATGAAGAAAATATTTGGTGAATTCGGATCGATTACTAGTATGGTGGTGATGAGGGATGAAGATGGAAATTCGAAATGTTTTGGATTTGTAAACTTTGAGAATGCTGCGGATGCTGCTAAATGTGTTGAATCTCTTAATGGTAAGAAATTTGATGACAAGGAATGGTACGTTGGACGAGCCAAAAAGAAATCAGAGAGGGAACGTGAATTAAGACTCCAGCTTGAGCAGGCTGAGAAAGAGGCAACTGAAAGATCGTTAGGATTAAACAACCTCTATATCAAGAATCTAGATGATACCATTGATGATGATAAGCTTAAGGATTTGTTTTCTCAATTTGGTGTTGTAACATCATGCAAGGTTCGTGTAGAAATGTCTTTGTTGTTGATCTTTTAATTGTGTTATTTTGTAGACTATAGTTTACTAAATCTGCTATAATGCAGGTTACTTGTGATGCAAAAGGGATAAGAAAAGGCTCAGGCTTTGTTGCATTCTCGACTCGTGAAGAGGCTTCTAGAGCAGTAAGTATTGTTGAAACCACCTTGTCTATGAGATTAAATTGTCAAAAAAGGGGAATGTTTATTTATTTAAATTTACTATTGAACAAGCCCCTCTTACGTACAAGCCATATTCATATTTCTGTCAAAGGCCTAATACGTTTTTGGTTTCTGTAGATCTCCGAAATGAATAAGAAGATGATTGGTAGCAAACCTCTTTATGTTGCTATAGCAGAAAGAAAGGAAGTTAGAACTGCAAGGTTACAGGTATGTTTCTACGATTTCGTCTCTCCCTTCCAATCTATGCTTTCACTTTATAAACCTGAGAAATCATATGACAGATGACATAAAACTCGTATCAATGTTCTCAGTATTCTCATGAAATTATCTCATCTTCAGTCAAGTTATTGGCACTTTTGAGTATCATAGTATACAATGTGCTCAGAGTTGCTCTCGGTTTTAGTACTTATTTTGCAAAATTAAGTGAGATTGTTGGTGCTATTGATTATATTTTCCAGGCTCAATTCTCTCAGATGCGGCCGATTACTCCAGTCACTCCACATATGCCGATGTACACTCCTGGTAGTCCTGGACCACGGCAACAAATATACTATGGACATGCTGGACCTTCTATAATTTCTCCAATGGTATATTACATTCTTTAAAGTATATCTTTTGGTCAAAACTTCAGATGTTCGAGATATTATATCATTCCTATTTCGACACAAAGCAACATTATTTACTGGTTAAATGAATATTTATCTATCCTGGAAAAAGGGATATTGGTGGTAAACTTGCAATTTACTTGGTAGAGGCTTGCAAGTTATTAAGCTTTTGACTCATGGTTATACCTGTTATGAATTGGGATGATTTTGGATATCAAATGCAGTTTGTTCCAGGCATGAGATCTATTGGGTCATTCATGCCAAATATGGTTCAGCCAGGACAGCCAGGATCGTACCCTGGTGGCAGACGCTCCAGTGTCGACTCTGTACAGCAGAGCCTACAGCCATTTCCAATGACGCAGCAACAGGTTAGTGGGATTTTCAGTTGTTCCTTTCTTTCTTGAAACATTTTATGGAGCATTGAGCATTGCTATGGCACAGGTGATTTCAAGGGGACGTGCATATCGATATCCTCTGCCTAATGTTTCTGTGCAAGGTTTCTCTGGACCAGACATGCTTTCCCTTCCACGTGACAGAGGCAGCCCTCAACTACGTGATGCACGGATTTCTCAGAGCATTCCAGTTCAAACTTTGGCTTCTGCACTTGCAAATGCGCCCCCATCGGAACACAGGATTGTAAGCATTCAGTATTTCAATCCATATCCTTTTAAACTTGTTCTCGCAAAAAATGGCTTTGAAGCATGGATTCTCATCTAAATGTGACGTGCATATGTTATGCTTTAGGACATGAGTTGGATACGCCAAGTGGCATGTCCTATCTCAAAAATCACTTCTTATTATGTCCATAACGTGATATATTCCATGTCTGCTTGCAGATGTTGGGCGAGAATTTATACCCACTTATCCAACAGTTGGAGCCTGAATCAGCAGCTAAGGTGACCGGCATGCTTTTGGAAATGGACCAAACGGAGGTTTTACACTTGATGGAGTCGCCAGAGGCGCTTAAAGCCAAGGTTGCAGAGGCTATGCAGGTCCTGAGGAATGCGCCTCAGCACGAGGCTAGCAGCCTGGACGAACAGGTCGCATCATTGGCATTGAATGAATAAAGGTGGAATTATGTACCGTACATTGTTCAGCTAAACTTTGATACAGAAGGTGGACTCACCGTGTTGTGAGGAAATAATCATCATGTGAATTTCCTTTTCTTTTGAAGCCCCGTGTTGTATCCAGTTTTTGGATGTTTTAAGGCGCTGGAAAGTCTTAAAGCCTTTCAATAAATTAGACTTTGTTGTGATTTACAGAATGCATATTAATAATTTGCCATATAGATTTATTACAGTGCTTCTTATAGCATTCCTAGGAGAGTTGGTTTTCAACAAATTTTCAAGTCGCTTAATACATGACTTCTACAACCTTTTTATTTTCTTGAATTGTTATGAGGGAGTTGCTATATCTGAAACATACTAAACATAGAAAATATAGTAGAGGCAGATGTAGCAAGGATTGCAAACTGGACAGTACTCAACTTGATTTTGGAAGATATGACAGTAGAAGTTGTAGAGTTGGTCGTCTTTAAAATCGAGCCATTGAAGCGGCAAGTCACACTGTAATCGAACACTTCCATCATGCAATGAGCGGACAACTCCGAAGAAACATTAAGATTTTGGTAAATGTGAGCCATAAACAGCTCATGGCCTGAAATAGGAATTTTGATAATTGATTTTTTGACCGTTGGAGATAAAGTAAGTCATACTTCTAAGAAAAGAATTCAAAAATGACGGCTGAAATGGTGAAATAACAGTCAAAAAATTAATTTTAATCGACTTTTAAGCTGTATCAAACAAGCTCTTAATTTCAATGAACTGACAAAGAATAGTACAAGCAACTACTAATGATGCCCAGTGTCAAATTGATATCCATTTCCTAGATAAAAGAGTTGGCTAAACAAAAAAGGCAAGCGGGAGAATCACGAATCATCGTCTTACGGTCGAAATCAGGCATCGATCATCACATAAAGAACTCCAAGATATCTTGTTCAACAATCAATTAAATCACAAGCAAAAATAAATTATTTTTGTTATAGTTAATAGCACCACGTCAACTCTTCTATTACACAATCACATGTTAAATAAAGAAGCTATCTACAAACCATTTCTCACTAATTCCTACATAAATAATCCCTGGCAAGTTATATTCACAAAAGTCGAATGACATATCACCCCCACAACCTAGTATTACATTTTCTCATTCCACGACTCACACGTAATGAACCAGTTACTCAGTGTCTGTACTTATGCATCCAGGTGAACAACATTTCTCTGCCTTATCCCTACATCTGCAGCTTCTCGATTCTGCTGAATCATGCCAATATCGCTCACATTTGAACTTTGAGCCTCCAGGGCAACACGAGAACCAGTTTGCCTCTCGTCTAAGTTCTCCCCGTAGTCATGGAGTCTACGACCAATCAAATACCGGTCATCACGTATAGAATTGTGGAGGTTGGTGAACCAGATATGGAAGCGCTTGGCACAAAAGAACAGCAGACTAAAACTCAGGCACCCTAACCAGGCAAATCGATAGACAGCCGAGTTAACTACTAACGGGTACCCAAACACCGGAAACACACCTCTTGCTAAAACGTAGGGAACACATAATGCAGTAAGCAGCTTCATAATGATAGGGAAAACAATCTCACGCAGTACCCAAAGACCTTGCAGTCTAGAGAAGCCATTTTCCCTCACCCTTTCAAATTTTAAACGCCAACTTTCATCCACCAGCGGCATCATGTGGTCCAACATAACCTGTTTAAACAAAAAAAATTGAAACAGTTCATATTTTTTTTGAAAGTATTGATCTCAGTGCATCCATTGCCATATGGCTATTCATCACTGTAGGCTACAGCAATGAAATCATTCTAAAGCTATCATAAAATGGTAAGACAAAGGTTAGGAACCCAACCATGAAGTTAAAAATTTACTGAAACCCCTCCACCCCAATCAAAAGAGACAAATAGAGAGAAAACTAACCACTCTTGTCCAGATCTTTAAAAAGATTAGTCCGAGGGCCCAATCCTGATATAAAAGGAAAACCGGACTTTCATCCACAGGAACCCGCATAGGCACGATTACCAGAAGTTCAAACAGCAGTCCTATTAAGACAGGAATGACAAAAATCTGCAGCACAAAGGTAACACAAGTTAACATCAAAAGCCCCTGCAATTTTATTGAAATATAACTGAGACTGCCCATTCTTACCCATATCGACAACAGTGCAGAACTCTTGAGAATGATGCCACACCATTTCCAAATCTGATTGAGCAAAACTCTAGTTCTCTTAGTCCGAATATGGTCAGTAAAATATCTTGCTCCAGCTAAGACAGTCCAAATGACATAGCTTCCAATGACAAAAGCATATGAATCTAAAGAAGAAAATCAAGGAAAAGTGAAGATTATGGCTTGATTCTCATTGCTTAAGTTGAAATAAGGACATAACCAAACAACTTAATAAATTGCATTACCATTGCACTTGATGCCATGGGTTAATGGAAGAAGTGGAAGGGCATTGAAGAGCATCCGCCCAAGTGAAATGGGCACAACTATCAATGCAGAGTTGAAAACAAGTAGTGTCATCCAAGCTACCAACAACAGCAGCACAATTCGAAGCACAAACCTCCACCTGCTAAAAGATTGAAACAGACAATTATAAGATGCTCATAGAAGAACAAAATAATAACTCTACGAAAAAACATTGCCAATCTACCAAAAGCTGACCTCAACTGAAGGTACATGGATCAATTAGAAAAGACGCAATCTAAACATTTGAGGATGCCCTATAAAAAAGTGGACGACGACTGAATGTGCAGGATTAGTCAGTGTGTATGTGCTAAAAATTTCTGTGTCTGTGTATGACTATGTATCTCACATGCTACATCACTACTATCAATTGATGTTGCAAGGACCCTTCTACTACAATGGTGGGTCCACGTGTGCCGGACACCAACACTCCTCGAATGTTACCAGAGTCTTTTTTCTTTCTTTGACAGTAATGTATAGTTTTATCAAAAAGTTATTATAATATAACAAAGAGGTACTATTTTTAAAAGATTTCAACAAGAAAAATTAATAGTAAGTATAAAATCATAGTTATACTATATAAATGAAGAATTTTAAAGAATTTAATCAATGTGTGGGTACCATTCTGACAAATTGTGTCACGCGTCCAAACGTGTCTGTCAGTGCATCATAGCTATTAGGTATAATTGTTCCCAAGAGATAGCATCAGCATAATTGAAGAAGAAAAAACAATGGCTTGTTTACAAGTGGTCCTTGAGTAAAAATCAAAAGCAAAAACTTTAAATCACAGAAATGTGAAAGTGCACACACCAAACTGAATTGATGGGAGATGGACAAACAGGCTAAAATCTAAGGAAACAAATGGTTCACAGAAAATTCCACATCGGAAAGCTAATAAATAATTATCCTCATTGCAACTTACTCTTGATCAGCCGGTTCATCACTGTCGTGCTCCTCCTCGGTGCCACCTTGCACTGCCTGTGAGGCTTGTGATACAGCTCGTTCCTCTGCACCAAAATGTGCAAGTCCTCTCCCTGGATTCCGATTTGCATTTTCTTGGCCACCATTGTCCTCTGGTTTTGGGAGTAAAAAGTCTGTTAAACCAAGTGCCCAGCCTACAGCTATAAACCAGTAGCGCAGAAGGGATTTGATAGTACTCCGCAGCTTAAAATGCTCAATAGCAAAAGGAATGCATATTTGGAAGAGAAGCATGTCAGCAGGAATTTCAGTAAATGGATCAGATACACTGCAAGTGAAGTATTTATGCATAGGTTAATAAAGAGAGATTCTATGAAAATCAGAAACTGCAACAGACAAGAAAGTGATATTTTCTGAAAAAGAAGTGGAGAGCGCTCTTACGAAATATCTAGTGGAAAAATGGAGGGAGCCAATCGCATTGCAAGTTTAACTGGTAAAAATACCAACATCACTATCAAACTCCCATAAACAGCAATAGACAACAGAACTCTACGAGCATGCTTGTGTACAGTATCATCAATCAGATCGCGGAATGGATTATAATTAGGATCAGCTGGATCACGAAGAAAGTATAGAACTCCACTGCGTAAAACCTATAAAGAAATACATTTGGTGTTAGTGGTAGCTAACATAGAACCCTTAGAAAATACAAGTTGATATAATGTTAGGCACAGTGCATACCCCTCGAAGAAGGCTGACAAATATACTGGTTTGCAGCATGTAGACAATTCCTACAACCCAATGAACCAAAAAACTTGCCAGTGGCGAGACAGAGAAAAATTCAACTCTTTGTGAAATCGTCTTTCCAAACATCCTAATTGTACAAACATCCAGCCACCATCCGCACATCAAAGGAAAAACCCCAAGTTCAATAACAAGAAGGAAAGCAACTTTAACCATAGTCATTAAATGTCTCATTGCTGCAGCAAACTGTCTGAAGAGAGATGGAATAGTTTCTGCAATTGAAGCAATTCCATAGAATCTTCCCATGGTCAAAGGCTCTCCTTTGGTATACCTTATGAAGGCAACAATTCCAACATAGAAAATGACCAGCGAGAATATGAGCATGTAGCCAGCAGCAAGAGTAGTAACATCAGAAAGCCGTGAAACCCCAGCAGATTGCACTTTGAAGACATCATTTGCAATAGCTGAGCTTAGGTTGCCAGATACTTCATTATTTCCTGTTACATTTACTTTCAACATCTCACTGACCTGACCAAGCAAACTATCTTCCTGGTTATCAGACGTCAAATTCACGACTGCAGTCACTGCATTCTTCAAGGACAGGGCCGATTCCGTAAGTGGCATGACAGTCGATAATACAGGACCAGTAGCAGAAAACCAAATCCAGGATAAATAGTAGAGTATAACACGTCCTAATGAGAAAGGCACAAAGATCACAACTCCAAGGAAAATCATATTGCTTGCTAGAACCTGCAAAGAAGAGGAGGAAGTTCAGCAACAAAATAATCCGTTGCATATAAGACAAAATGCATTAGAAGAGCTTGCTGATTTTGTAAAGCAATTCATAAATAAACCTTTACATGCAGATCAAGTAATGATTCCACTGACATCCAAGCATGGAGATGATGTAAAGGCATCTTGTTCACCAGGTAAGGAAATTAAATCTGTGAATGACAACCAATGATAGTGCACCATGGCTGTAGAAACCATGCCACTTTACAAAAACAACTGTCTGACAATTTCCCATCTGCTTTATTGAGTGATGACAGAATTAAACTTATTTGGAGACAGTCTAATACCCAAGTACTTGCTTCCAGTGATCAGTTATTCAAGAAAAAGCT